CAGGGATTTAGACTACCAACCATCTGAGTCATGATTTGTGGACCATCCACCCTTCCCCTTCTTACTCCTGTTTAATCCAGTTTCTTCCCCACAGCTATCTCTTTTTTCCGTAGCCTTTAGCTACACTTTAACTTTTTGGGAATGTATCTAATGCTGTTACCCAGACTGGCCCATAGTGAGTGAACATGTAGGGATTAAGAATTCTTCTCAAGGACACTCTGACTGGATAAAATCCTTCACCAGCATCCCTCTGGACTTTTCTTTCCATTAAGCCTCCCAAAAACCCTTTTAGGCTGAATGTTTAGCTGCTTGTATCCCTGTTGTGATGCACTTCATAGGTGCAGTGAGGACGTTGGGGAACCGCGGCAGTGTTAAATAACAGGAATAATCTGAAAGCTGTACTACACAAGAAAGAGCATGCTACCACACTAAAATCTGATGGCTAGTTTCTTGGGTTCTTTTGTCAGTTTTTTCTATATCGCTATATACATATACACTTCTGAATCAGGGTTCTAATATATATCGGCTATCTGTTTTTTTGGGCGAATCTTTGGGGACATTTTTGTCATTTTATTTTGCTAATTTACTGCTCTGTCTCCAAAGAATGAGAGCTGCTCAGTGACAGATTCAGCAGTGCAGTAGTACACACACTGAGCCAAAGAACATGTGAGAGGAAAAACAACCGTAAAGCCAGTGTATTTGCACATCCAACTGCGTTGAATTTAGGGTTTATTTTGACTAGTTTGATAACAGGGAATACAGTTACAAGGTGAACATAGGCAAACAAGACTTTATTTACTTTCTGTAGAGTTTGAATGTATTGTGTTTTAGGATTGTTCCACAAGAATTTATTTTCCTTTCTTGACATTTGATGAGTTGATTTTGTTTATTAAAGCTATGAGAGTTAGTTGCAAGTAACAAAACTAGCTGCTCAGTGCTTAAGTGGGGCTGTATCAAAACCCCTGAGAGTATTTATCGAATTTAAAAATGGTGCATTTTATTTTTAATGAATTTAACTTTTTATTTGTAAAAAATAAGATTGAACTATTTGGTATTTTCAAAGCTAGTCTTGCTTTAAACAGTAGAGTTCAGCATTTTTTTAAGGCATGGAATATATGCCATATAGCTGCATTCTTAAATAAAATATTGGTAGTTTGTAAAACAAACATAGGTTCTGCATCTCTACAAGACAGTGCTTTTATTTCAGTGTCCATAAAATTTGAATTATGGTCAAAAATCACCTCCTACATTATGTAACACTGAGCCTCTGAAGTCCTACTGGAGCTAAAGGGGTGAAGGAGCAGAGGAAATTTCTCTCGAGTCTGACGTTACTTTCATTTTTCTTCTTCATCGCACCCCTCTCCTCTCATGCAAACCAATCAACTGTAACCGGAGCTGCTTTAATGGGGGAGAATGATGCTGCTTCATGAGTATCACTGGCTCTGGTTCAAATGCGGGGGGCCCTGCACAGAACATACACTCACACACTTTCACAGGCATGCACACAAAAAGCATGCGCACGCACGCACAAACTGCCAGAGCGGAGATTGAAGATAACAGGATGAGGCTGAGTCTGGGTCAGTGTTATTAGACAGGAGACTAACAGCCATCAAGTCACTTAGCAAAGTAAACCTCTCTGATACACTGTTACGTGCACTGATGCACAGAGAGCCTTCTAACCAGTGGCTCGCATTTTTCCGTCCGAGGCATCGTGATTGTTGCTTTTCAAACCAGAAATTCATTGCCTTTCTTGCAAATGTATTCTACTCAGAGCCTGATCTTAGTGTGAGTGTGTGAGTGTGTGTGTGTGTGTGTCTGTGTGTGTGTCTGGGTGCATGTGCTGTGCGACCACAGTCTCTGCAAACTGTGGGGGGAAACGACCACAGACTGCACATACTGAAACCCACAGACTCCAGTGCACAATCCATCTATCTCGCCATCCCTATCTTTGTTTTCTCTGCCCCCTACGGAGTACCTTTCATCCATCCATCTCCCTACTTCACGTGACCTCCCCCAATACCTATCGTTCATTCGTCTCTGTCGGCCACTCGCCATCCGCACTCACTGCTCAATTAGAAGATTTTTCCAATATGACACAAAGCCAACCTCTTCGATTCGTAGGCTTCGTTGATTTCGGCAGAATCCAAGACTCTGGTTAAAAAAAAACTATTATCCAGCCTGATACCTCTTGCCCTTACCTCCCACCCTCCCCATGAGCAGAACCTCCAATCCATGCCTATTTTCCCTTAATGCTAGTCCAGCTCCTTCCCTCTCCTCCCGTCTCCAAACCTCAGACCACAGGGCTTTAATAGGGGGGTTAAGAGGTAATTCCTATCACACTGCCATCATTTAATATCTAACCGAGGCTGACAGAGAGGAAGGTTACGAACCCAAACCAGAAAGCCACCAGCAAACCTCCCTGTCTCCTCCTTCTTACTCTCCTGCTGTTATTCTCCCTTTCAGGCTCCCTCCCTTCTGACTTTTGCTCTTTTCTGCTGTCATTCTACCTCCATTTCTTCTTCTCCGGTCTTTATCTCTGGCAGGCTGCCTCATCTACATACCTTGCTATTTACATTACCGCCACTTCCTCGAATCGCGGCAAAGCGCGTCGGACGGGATAAAAAGCACCGAAAGATGGAGGAGAAAAACGGGAAAAGTGGAAAGAAGAAAAAAAAATAAAGATCAGGAGGAAACTCCAGACACTGTAATTTAGATTGTGCTGATGGCAAAGTAGGGATATAAAGAACATGAGATTTATAATGTTAAGTTTGGAACACGTTCACCCTTTCCACTCTCTTACTGAGTTGCCTGAGAGCTCTATAGGGATCCATATTCGACCAGCGATAAATAAGAGCTATCGAGACCAATTAGAGGTTTTATAGAATAGTAAGCCAGGCGGTGGAGGAAATAAGACTGTCACTCATGAGGAACAAGAGTAAAGGTTGGAAAGAAGAAGTAAACATAGTGAGGAGTATGGAGTACATGTGTTTGTGTGTGTTTGTCTCTGTCACTGTGTGTGTCCCTGATGTTCACATGAGGGGGTTTTGACTGTGTGTGATCCTGGAAGCCACAGTTGACGTAAATGACAATTTGCTCTGAGCCATAACAGTCTACTTTGCTGTCTTCAGCAATACATCACGCATCACCACAAATATATGAAACACACGATCTGTCTGTCCAAACTTTTAAATGGAGGTTTCACAGTGTGCACCCCACTGAGAAGATTTCATCTTTCTGTGGTTTTTCTGCCAACACAAGAGATCATTTTGAGAAAGAGCTACAGAAAATACAAGTTAATTTATTGTCATCATCATAAACCACTATTATTATTACCGTATTTGTTGTTTCTGTTGGGGTTTTTTAAAATTCCTTTGCTCTGTTTGTTTTTTTCAATAGATTGTAAGCCTAAAGAGCATGTTGTAACTGCCCATTGAGAACCAGTTCAACTTTTCATGCTATAAGAAAGAAAGTGCACTTTTTTTAGATAATCCAATGAGTTTTTAGAGGGGTTTTTTTTCACCTAAGATGTAGAGGAATTGCCTGAATCCCTCAGTTTATCTGAACACCTAAACATTGCAAACACACAGGTTTCACTGGATAGAAACCATCTATTAATTACTGTTAATTATTGTAGATAAGACCCTTGTTAATGCTGGAAGAGGCATACTATAGACAGAAGAGGTGATGTAGCGCACTTCACGGTTCATTTCAAAGTAAGTTCTCTAACTGAAGCATACTGTGAGGCAGCATTTGTGTAAATGTCCCATTTAGGAAACCATTTTTTGGGTATGAAATAGTCACCACCCACCACCTGGAGCCTTGACAGGTAGCAAGTTTCTCCTTTACAAAGTTAACTTTTCAGACCCACTTTTCAAGGCTACGGGAAGTAAACTTTTAGAGGTGTATTCCTTTAAAACGTTCGCTGGTCTAATTCACTAATAACATAAAACACATAAAACTCCAATAATGTCAAAAACTACAAACAGACCAGAAGAATATACTTTTTCAACAAAGAAAGGTTACAGTAGCTTCCAAGGCCGTTCTGCCTCATGGAAACATTATAAAAGAGAGTGAGAGAAGTGAGAAGTTTAATGTCCCAGCGCTGGTATTCCCTATCCTAACACAGTGCAACACACACAGACGCACATGAACACACTGATATGCAGAGACAGTATATTTATATGGTGCGTGCATGCACACATTTACACATACATGATATGGAAGCTCAAGAATGCACACAATAACTGCAGTTACTCCACAAGAGGTTCACGCACACACACACACACACACACACACACACACACACAGGGTCTACTTCTAGCTTTACTTGAAGGCAGCCCAATACAAACAGCTATAAAGTTTAGAAGGTGTTTCAACCTTCAACCTAAGCTGACAGAGACCCTCTGAGGATAAGACAAATAGAAAACCTGAGTGGAAATAAGGAGTGCAGACAGAGAGAGCACAGGGGAAGAAAGTGAGACAGGGTGGGTGAACCGATGGGACTGAAAGAGAGAGATGAACCAGAGAGAGAGAGAGAGAGAATGTCTGGGAATGTGAGATGAATAAGAGAGAGAAGGAGGGCAAGTGGGAGGCTTCTCTGCATCAGTGTGACCTGCTCTTACACTCTGAATACTCTGGGAAAACTCCATATTCCTGAATAAAAATTCCTCACAGGTCCAAGCAAAACATTCACTCCAGGCACACTTTCACCTCTTAAAATTGTACGCACACACACCCATACACTCTTTTTCGCCTCTCGACAGGAGCACAGTGCGGCACTGTGTCACCTGGTGCGGGACTTGTACCCTCAACCCGGATAAAAGTTCTGACATTGCACCGAGGGCCGTGTTTTTCAAATGGATCACGTAACACATCAAAAGAGAAAGAAAATGTCAGAGACAGAGACAGAGAGAGAGAGAGAGAGAGAGAGAGAGATGGGAGAGTTGAAGAAAGTAGGATCACTGGATGGAAGGATGGAAAAACAAGAAAGGTGTACTCACAGTCGTCCTAGTTTGGGGTTGGACTGGAAGAGAAGCTCTGGGAGAAACTGGAGTTTGTTTCTGTTCAGACGACTGTGGAGAGAAAAGGAAACTGGTTTCATAGTGTTTAACTCACCTCAACATGAGCAGAAACGCGCAAAAATACAAGCTCATAAATCACTCCGATATATGCTCTTGTGTTGATTGAACTATCACCAAACAGGCAACTGCATTACCTTGTAGTTCAGCGGGTTCATGGTTCAAACGTCAAACTCATGAGAAACTCTGTCTGGCTTCCTGTGATCATGACCTATAGGTTATCATGCTGTGTTTTGTGTGTATGTGTGTGTCAGTTACAGGTTATCGTGCTGTACGCTCCGTGAAGCCAGTTATCACTATCAACCCCACATGTGATTTGAGTGGGAGTGAAAGTTTTCCTGTAATCTTCACTGAAAGATGTTTTTAGTAAAGAAAAGGCTTTTTCCGAGGGAACTCACTTTATTGGCACCACTCTTACATTTTTGGTAAATATCTAAACTGTTTTGTCAACTGAAAAGAAAAGGACTGTAGCATCAAATAGAGGATTAAGAGTGCCAAGTGCACTAGTGTGTATCCAAATGGCAGAAATAATCCTAAACAGATAAGCCTAAAAAAAATTAACCTGACAGATAGGACAAAAATGCAAGAGCTTTGCCAAAGAATTCATATTTATTTCTTTTTCTCATTACTAAAACTGATAGCTTATCCACTAATATTGGTGAAGACAAACAAGTGTGAAACGATTTCCGTTCTTCAATCCAAGTTTGAATGAATACATAGACAACACGTTTGCATATGCATACATGAGTATTTATTTCTCTATGCGCACATTTATACACAACAAAAACTAAAAGTAACAGTAAGATGGGCTGGCTTTCATTAATTCATATTTCAGACAACCTTTCTGGACATTAAACTGTTTCTCGACTAATATTAAAAGAAAACAGCAGAGCAGCTTCTCATATAATACGTGTAAAATACCATTCCTTCTTTAAGAAACTTGAACTAAGCATGAAATGAACACATGGCAATTATTCACAACGGACTGAAAGGCGGAGGAAGATGGAGAGAGTGAAAGAATGGTGTTGACCAACAGGTAGACGTGTGTGTGAGGCCAAAGCAAGAGATAGAGTGTGTAAGAGAAACATGTGTCTTCTTGTGTGAGTGTGTGCAGAAGGAGGGCGGGGTTGGCTGCAGCAGAGATAGATGAGGACAGTGTGACGAGAGGGAGTGAAAGTGTTATCAAGCTACCAAAGCATTTGTGCTGAGAAATGAGGCGTGGAGGGGGAAAAGAAAAGAAAAGGAGGGTGGAGGGTCACGGGGTCACAAAGTAGAATCTGTGCTGGAGAAGACACAGACACCGACCTTTTAACCCCTGTGATAATGATAATAAGACCCTGACTTTCACTCCTTTGTGCACCAATGGAAAGAGAGCTGCAGTCCAAAAAGAGATATCCACCATTTGAAATAATTGACCCTTGCTCCTAGAAAATAACTGCTGGTACTGTCACCGGCTACTATTACAGTTATGAGTCATTTTAAGACGTTCGCTCACAAAACAGTTATGGTTTTTAAAAGAAGAATCCTTTGTGTATTTTCAAATAATAATGACGAGTTTATTCTACTTGGAACCTTTGAAATATTACCAGACCACAAGTCCATGGGCACTATATTTTTAAAAATTGGAAAATTATCCCTATTAGTCAGAATCACAACGAAGTCCAGCAGAAATGGTTTGGAGACTGAAGAGAACTAATCTCACTGGGCCAGTCCTCCAAAACCAGAGGTTTGATATATTTTTCTGAGGAAAACAAAATAAAAAATACCCTATTCTTTTTGTAAAATATCCACGGATTAGAAGCTTCTACGGTTCATCGTTCCATTTTTCCCTTATAAACCAACTCTGAGTGCCTAAATTAACAAATGACCATGACTTTATAATTCATGTGTTGACATGCATGAATGTCCTCACCCAAGGAGATGACTACTTAAACTCCATGTTTTTCACATTGTGACGCCATAAATCACGCAGTCTCAGCACCGTAACCTCTCACCCCTAAACTTTCACCCTGACAGGCACAACATCAGAGGAGCTGTCAACTAAGCATTTTAAAAAGCATTTCACTATCACTGAAGTAAATCAGGAGCCCCATTATTATCATCACTTCAGCAGTAGTAGTTAAAGAGTTTTTCTCCGTAATATTTTCAACAGAAACAGAGACCAAGATATTAACTTGTGTCTTCTCCTCAGATTGACTTCAGGCCAAATACTAAATGTCATCCATACACTATGTGATGTATATATAATATATGTAAATATATATATATATATATATATATATGCAATCCAGTTGCCTCCTCACCCCTTACCTCTGACCCTTCCTGACACACCACATTAAAGAGCCTTTTAACACTAAAGCAGCCCATCACCTCTCACTTTCACTACTGGATGTGTAATCTTCATTTAGAAAGATACACATGTTGCTGCCACTCAGCGTCTGAGTCCAGTGTCAGATGGGTTTGCTGTCACCTGTCTTCAAGTGACATTATGAGACTGTGGAAGTACACTGTGGAAAGACAGTGGCAATTTAAAATAGCTTCGTGCGCTTTTAACAACGGATAAACTGACATTATCTGTGAAACAAACTGAACAGACATATCAGTGAAGAAACTCTCAGCTCCTGTCCAACTGCCCAGCTATGTGAATTCAGCACTGTTAAGACAGCCAGTTCCTAAGTTTAGAAATGCTGTCCTCATCAGTTGAAGAGCTCCAATATGGCAGCTAGAAGGTATGTTACACCATCTGAAAGCCACAGCTATAAAAAATATAGTGGCTATTTTGAGGAGATAACTTCAGATGGTACACGGTGTGTTGCTCTTATTTTCATTAACATCATCATAAACATTATGTAAAGAACAAACATGGAAGCATGTCGTCCTGCAGAGCTGCCTGTAATCCCTCAAATGCAGAGTCATAAACATGCAGGTGTGTGTGTGGGAAGTGTTGTGTTGTGCACTGACACCTTGATTCTATTGACTAGAGCCTTCGTGCGAGCTGACACACACACACACACACACACACACAGAACACGGCAATATGTATGAGAGATTCCAAGGTTGTGTGTGAATTGAATGGGCTTGAGTATCATCCAGGTACACTCTTTGTGTGTCTTTGTGTGTCTGTGAATACATGCTCTACAGAACGGACAACAGCAAGTCAAAGTTGTGTGTATGTGTAATGAAATGGAATCAGCAGCAGTAAGTCAAATATTTGCATGTGTGTTCATTTGCGTTTGCAGGCGTGCATCCGTACATATTTTGGGATATTTATGTGTGTGCATTTTGAAGCCCGGTGGCTTTTTCTCACACGCTTAAAATACCTTTAAGTTTGCATCAGCTGTTTAGCTTTCACAGTTTTCTTTCTCACTCACACACAACAGGTAGCAGCATAAGATTGTATACTTACAGTCTCTCCAGCAGTCGGAGGTCTTGGAAGGCTCCTCTCTCGACAACAGTGATTTGGTTGTCCTCCAGATGACTATAGAGATGGACATAAAGACACAGAGAAGAGAACAGTAGTTACTATCATAACTGAACAAATGCACAATTCAGAAGCAAGACCAGCAAAAATGCGACTCTCACTCTGCAGCGGACAAGAGAGAAACAGTGAATGTCAATGTAGAAAATAAGAATTATCAGTAATATAGTTGCAGTAGTCATTTCTTTAAAAAAAAAGTCTTTAAACTGAGGAACGACCAACGAGTTGGGAATACCTATCCACAGCCAGGCTGACCTGGAGGGTCAAGCCAGAGGAAGAAACACCAGATTAATCTCATTTTCTGGACAGTGCAAACAGAGAAACTAGCTGCTTGCCAGATGGAAATGGAGAGATTTCAAATAACGAGAGAGACATTTGCACTCTTTAAAAAATTGGTTGTATAAACAAGCAATCAGTGCCCTGTACAAATTAATCTGGCATGAACCGAACGTTTAAAAACTTTAAGACATGCAGCATCTCACAAATGTCACAATCTAGTGAGCCAAAACAAACTATTAACAACCCATCCCTCTTCCACCCCTCAGTGAATATCTTCTCCATTTCTCGTCTGTCTTTCCAGTGGCGCTCCCAATGTAATGCATATTCCTCTTCTTCTCTTCCCTGCTCCGTATGTGTTGTCATGTTTTTGGGTCGATGTAAGGTTTTCCAGATGGGACAAAGTGAAGGAGAGAGAACATCTCCACACAGATATGTGTGTTTATATTTTCTGTCTGACGATGTTAAGAGTGACATCTCCTGAGAGAGAGGGGGAGAGGGGGGGATCGAAGGGAAAAAGTGGCTGATTTGAGAGGCAGAGAAGGAGAGCAGGGATAAGAAAAGGGAAGGAAAATGAAAGGAAAGAAAGGAAGTGGAAGAGAAAGGAAACAGAGATTATAAGAGACCCAGAATGACAAGACGGATTGAGTGAGATAGATACTTAAAAAGGAAAGAGAGAATGCTGAGGAAGACTAAAGAAGATGTATCAAAAGAGACGATGTCTGGCCTGCCATGTGGACTTGGAATTGTTTTGGCATGGCCTTCCTTTAAATATTCTTTCAAAGAAAATGTTTAGACATGCAGCTGTATTTTAACCATTAATCTGTGGGCTGTCATACCGGCTCTTTACACAAACACACATACAGATGATAGGTTGAACTGAAACATGCACTTGGCTGAAAGCACTTGGCTAACAGACAACATTCATGTAAACGTGCATAAAAATGAAAACTTGGTGAAAGTCAAAAAGTATTAATAATACAACTTCTTTTTCTTATATATTTTCCTAATTATTTAAAGGTCTAGTGAGTAGGATTTAGTGGCATCTAGTTAATCTAAGCAATTGCAGATCACAACTCCCTCGCTTCACCCTCCTCTTCCAAGCACAAAGGAGAAACTACGGTGGCATGAAAAAACGATCGGCACGCTTAAACCAGTTTATACACTCACACAAATGCGAACATACAGTTGAAGAAAGAAGTCTAAACTCCTAGCTAAGAAAGGCAAACACACACTGACAGGCTGTACTGTACAGAAGATGCATGGACATACACACCCAGCACTAATGAGCAACGTCAGATATGTGTGTAAACATGCAAAGGGTAAACAAAGGTAGAGAATTATGCACTCGGTAGCAAGAATACCCAAACACACATAAACATATGCACAGTCCTGACTCCAGCCCATCGGTCATCATTTACAGTCGGCCGGCATTAATCCAGCATGTTTATTCTCGTCTGCATTTCCTCCATCCTGACAGAAAAGCATATCTCGTAAACTCCGGTGTGAGCTACATCAAGACATAACTTTGAGTAACTATCAGAGCTTATTTGTCCAAATGAGGGATCAACCGCATGCTGATTTATTGAATGAAGTTTAGAAAGGCAGGGGATCCTAAGCCAAACACATGGTGTTTGGGAGCCGATGCTGGCATATTGTTCGGATGAGGTATTGTTTTTATATTGGTCTGTATCAGGCATTACTCATCGACAGGGAGATGGAGAAAAGAGAGAAAACATGTATTGATTTCATGTGTGTGGGGCCTGGTGTGTCTAGTAACTCTTTCATTCATCCATATTAGAAAGTCTTAGCAACCATTATAAAGAGCGCAATGTCGTCACGCTACCTTATGGCAGACTCGGAGCACTTGGCCTGCGCAGGAAATAAGGAAATACTTCAGGGGATATTAACTTCACTTGTTGTTTACGCACAACGGGTGAAACCACATTAACGTTCGCCAGCCAAACGTTCAATATCAAGCACAAGTTTTCACCTACATCTAAATTTGTTTGGAATTACTCAATTTCGCCACAATCTGGAAGAAATCTTGTGATGTAAGTCTGCCAAAGATATTACGCTAAGTGTTGCGCATGCAGTATGCATGAAGAGACAAGTCTGTGATTATGGTCCGACCACAGATTAAAGAATATTCAGACTGTTTAAATGTTTAATCGGACAACAGCAGGCAGTCTGAATAAAGTGCTTCAATGATGTCAGATACTAAATTAAGATTAAGATTTTAAACACCAACAAATGTTGTGATTATTGTTGAAAATACACCTGATGTGACATGGTTTGAGGTGTTTAACAGAAGTCAGATTATATGTAATTTATTATAGGTAATTTCGCAGGACTAATTATCAATAATTACTAGCCTGTATATAAGCATGGGCAGCTATTAGTCTTCCCTGGGAATAAAGTTACAGACGTTAAACTACATGCAAACCTTTCTCATGAGATGTATTTAAGACTTAAGTGAGTGAGCGGGAATGAATTTGGCATTTGTGTGCGTGTGTGTATAGAGGTCTTGTAAGTAACAGTAATGTCCTAAAAGTAACATATTTGACACAGATAAGGGTAGACCATTTACACATATACAATGTGTAAGCGTGTGTGTGCGTGCGTCTGAGTGTGTACTTTCTCAGACTATCTTCTCTTTCCCAAGCCATCTCCTCCCCATTTCTTTAAGAGATTTAGAGTAGGGAAATGTCACAGCAGTTTATCACCAACCACATGAAACAAGCTGCTGGCCCACCACACACAAACACACACTCACACACACACACACACACACACACACATACACAGCCTTTTCCTTGGTCCTTCTCACCCTCTCTTAAGAGCACAGGATGCACACAAATAAAGGTCTCTCTCTCTTTCTCTTTATCCATTTTTCTCAAACACACACATCTGACAAGATCCAAAATCCACCATGGTCCTTACAAGTATAGTTATAGTTAAACAAATGTACTTAAAAATGAAAACACACACATGCATAAACATATTTCCACTCCTCAGCGTAGTTTGTGCTGGAAGTGTATTTTTATCTGCCGGTCTGGTTAAAACAGAGTGAGGAGGGAAGCTGCATGCAGCCAACGGTGATTATAGTTATTATAGGCCTAACACACACACACACACATACACACACACACAGTGTGAGAGAGCCCTTAAAGTCAATTAGGACAGCTGAGAGGAGACGAGGAGTTACACTCTACTGAGTGCAGCCATTTAGATATGACGAGTTAGACAACAAAGACGAACATCAGTGTATCATTGATTTTTTGAACACAGGCACAAAAGCAGTCAATAGAATGTAGAAGGTTCATATTTTGGATTAAATATCTTTTTTGGATGTTTACTGACAGCTACATGTTTACTCTATAGTGAGTAAATTGCCTTTGGAAGTAATTTTGCCTTGAAATGGACCAGTGGTCATCCAGTTCAGCAGTTTCAGCCCCCTGTTGAGGCCCCTAAAACAAAACCATTACTGAACAGATAGTATACCAGTTGAAATTACCACTTATGACAGACTGGACACGCATCATGATTTAGGAGCGTGGTCTCTTTGTGGCCAGTGTGTACAGGAGAAACAATTACAATGAACAAGCTCCTTTCAATGTACATATGGGCATGTGAGTCCATTACATTACAGTGTAAGTGTTGTAAGTATAGTTTGTGCGTTTGAAGCTATCCTTTAAGCTGTTTGTCATCAGATTCAACAAAACACCAATCTGTCCAATGCACAATATCAAAATATACTCTGCATTCTGTTCTTATCACTTGTTTAAAGTTTTGGTTTAGGTTAGCAACTCTGTTTGAAACTGAAACAGATTTTTTGGGGGGAGGGATGCAACGTGTTCAAGTCATGATTTTGCAGTGTAATTCTATGTGTACAATTATGACTTTAAAGAATCTCAAAACTCTGTTACTTATTTCTAATTTTCAAAGGCATCTCTGGGTCTCCCAATATTGCAAAACTTCCAAACATTCAGCATTCCATAACTATTGTTCAAAGAGACCAGGGAGACAGTGGTGAACTCTGTGTCAAATTATCTTTTCTTTGACTGTTTCACATGAACAATGACTCCCAATGTCTTGCTAACAATTGTCCAGAAATTGCAACATTTTTCAGCTATTTAATCTCCGCGTATCATCATATCCGCAATACTTTAACATCTTGTGGTCACGTTGCTTGTTTAACAAATGGGAGTCTTGCTGCTTGTTACTGGCATGTCAGCTTATTATTTAACCTTGTAAATATCCAGTAATTACCAAATTTGACTCCTTGGATAAGACACTTGCATTCTCTCCTGCCCTAAAATCCCTCATTAGGATGGGAAACTATTTTATAGAGACTTGTTTCCCTTATAGCCATATACAGGGCTATTAGGTAAATATAGCATTTGCCTAATTGCTCCAGCATGGCAGTTTTTTTGTTAATGGAATTCCTTGTAAAGAAACAAACACAGGTCACAATGAGGAAAAATAGGTCATAATAGACCTGCTGCTACGTGGTAGACTTAACATCAAGTCCTCATACCTAAATGGCTAAACGGGGCATTTGATAGCGCCATATAAATAAACAACTCATATGAGCGTGTGTGTTTGAGGTATGATTATGGTTAGACAAATACATCTATAGGCGGAGGTAAGGGAATGATCAAGTCCATGGTTAAAAGGTCCAGTGTGTAACAATTAGGATCTGTTGGCAGAAATGGAATATAATATTCATCGGTTTGTGTTCATTAGTGTATAATCACCTGAATATAACAACTGTTATGTTTTTATTAGAATGAGCCGTTTAAAGAGCCGCCACCTGGCATCTCCATGGAGTCTGCCATGTTGAACCGCCATGTTCTACAGTAGCCCAGAAGGGACAAACCACACACTGGCTCTAGATAGGGGCATTTTTCACGCATTTTATCGTTAAATTAAATCGTACACACTGGACTTAAAATACTAGCTTTGTGCGCCCAAACATCTGCTTGGACCTAGATTTCTTTTCTCAACAATGTCAGAAGAGCCTTAAGGATATCTGTTTGAAGCTATCAAACATTCAGCAAGAGCAGGCTTCAGGTATTTCATAGATGACTTAAGTTTTTTTTAATCCTACAGTAGACTATTTGCATTTCATGTCCGTTAAAAACTGAGCAGATAAAGTCTCATAATAGCGCCAATTATATGAACAGATTATTTTTTTTAGTAGCACATACCAGTGATTTAAGACAGGAGTTCCCAAACTTTTCCATGTCAAGGACCCCAAGAGTAGATGCACATTAGACCATGAACACCCAATTTGAGAGGACTTTGTCTTAAGAAATATAATAAGAGTATTTTTTTTACGGGATCACTTTAAATTACAATCAATAAAAACCCTATTTCTTCCCTTGCTGTTCCAACCTCTAAAAAATGGGATACAAATTAAAATATTCTATTCCAGCTTTTGCTGGGGACCCCCTACAGCCCACTCACAGATGCCAGTTTTCCCCAATTTTCTTGAACTGTAATTTTCTCCGACTTGGAGCAAACCTTACACAGAAAAGCAAGAGAGGTTTGGGATAAGAATACACAATGTTTTTGCACAAAGCCCATTTTGTTTGGATATGAACCCAGTTTGAACTTGCTGAACAACCCCAGAGTAATTTCAGTAATTTCACTCAATGGTTTATCACCACAAAAAGTTGAAATAAACAAAGAAACAAACAAACTTACAGAATCCTGAGGTTCTTGATGCCAGAGAAGTCCACTTTAGTGATTCTGGTGATGTTGTTTCTGTTCAAATCCCTACAGAGAGAAACACAGGGGTTACAAAACGTATTGATCAAACCAGATCATTAATCAAATTCAGTTTAATTAACAGGATGAACTTAATATAATACAGTTTATCTTCACCACTGCGACTTCATAATATGCTAAAAAGCTAAAAAGCTAGTGAACTTTAGTGAAGTGCATGTGTGTCTGTGTGTGTTCTCGCTCAATTGGATTAGTGAATGTGGCAGCAGGACAGAGCGTGAGAATGCCCCACAGCGTAAGAACCCACACACACACGCACATACACAAACATACAAACACAAACAAACAGAAACTAACACACACCGACACTCCTACCATACAGGCACCAAGGAAATTATGCACACACACTCACGTCTACACACATACAGCTCCTGCTGCTGTGAATTATTGAGAAGCAAATTTTCCAGAAAAAAAAGAAAACAAAAAGTAGGATGAAATTATTTTCTCTTTCCATCATCAGAGTTTAAAAGCTTATCGTGTTTCCTGGCTGTCTTTCAATCTGTTTTAACTACGGGTGCACAATGTATGCATACTGCAATATGAACTGACTGCCTGAGTGTGTGTGTATAGACTGGTTCCCTTTACACGGGTATGCTGTTTATTGAAACGCTGTCGTACTGGAGGAATTAGAGCAAGGAAAAAAAACACACACAGAAGAGCACAGACAAACAACACACACAATTTTCTCTCTTATTTCACACACACACGACTGTCTTTCCCTCGGTATGCAAGCTTTCACTCACCCTCTCACAGACGCACACACACTCACACATGCATATAAACAGAGTCTGGTTTTGCCAAGGCGGCCTGCGTGTGTGTTTTTCATAATACACCTAAACATTTATAAATCTGATTTAAGACCATATTAGGTTTCAAAAGGCTTCCCCAAGCAGCTATGGCAAGGACCACTAATAAGAGCCATACTCCGGCCTGAGACAGGGAGGGCTGGTGTGGCAGGGGAGGGCAGCACTTCCCAAAGAACCAAAATGTGGTCCAGGGTCCACCAGGGGTCCTTGAAAGGACTCCAGGGTAATGAATAGTTTCAATATCTCATCTGATAGAATGCGTCACATAAAATGACTGCTGATCAAAGACTCCCACCCACTACAGCACAGACAGTGATCTAAATCATACGCAACAACAAATAAGCTCTCAGAATGAGGCCCCGGTCAAGTAAGGTTTCTATTTGAGGATTCTTGGTATGAGAAACAGAAGAGAAGAGAAGAAGAGAGAAGATAGGGGGTTTAGCCTCTCTACAAAAAAACCTCAAAACGTTTTTACAGTGGTGCAATGTAGAATCTTAAAGCGGAACTAATCAATATTTTATATAATAGATCAAAATGATTGTGTAAGGGAGTCATCACATGACTCAGCAGAGCATGTTAGCATTTTTCATCTCATTGTTTTTGTTTCACTGTTTTGCTTCATTCGCCACTCTCTTCAACCCTGATTCGAGACGCTTTCAGCAAAAAAGCTCTGATAGTGATAGCAGCGAAAGAGTTAGATATTTCTCTCAGGAGTTGGTTGAGACCAAAACAGAGCTAAAAGGAATTTGAGTATTTGACTTTTCCCAGGGGGGCAAAGGACTGCTAATGTTGCCTTTTGTTTGTGAGCTGTGTAAGTTAGCATATCATCAAGTGAGCCAAACATTTGGAAGCAGCAATAACATGAAAAAATATATCAACCATTCATGATGACTCTGAGGCTCATCCATCTCCCCAGCTCATTCAAGACACCAGAGATGTTTTTGAGAGCGAGCCACTTCGCCATCGTCCAGACTAGAAGCTGCTGGTTCTTGTCACAATCTTTCAGTACGGGTGTAATTGCCAGTTCCTTGGAAAGCGAGGCAGCTTGATAAGCCTTCTTGGACGAGGTGAAAAAGGCACATTACAGCATTGATTTATCTTTTTCAGCGTGAGGAAAGGGCTGCTTCCATCATGAAAGAAACTGATTTTTCTTGTTGATTTGTAATTTCAAGTACAGTCACTTTTGAGTGACTGAGGCCGAATCCAATCTGAAAACCTCTGTTCCCCATCACTCCACCTTCTCCTCCCTGTCTTATCCCTCTGCTATCCATCTCTCCCTATCCTTTCACATTTGGCTACAATCTTTCAGCTTTTCTTTTTTCTCTCCCTCCTTCCCTTCATCTCAAATCTCTACTTTCCCCAGTCACTGCTCTTTAATGTCAATCTGTCAGTCCTTCACAGCCAGCTTTACCATGTTCCCAGCCTTCCTCTCCTCTTTCTTTCACTCTCTAATCTCCCCCTTTACAGTGTGCCCCCCCTCTCTCAATCTCTCTTGTCTTATCTTTCACTGTTTCACAGTTGACTAAACACTTTTTCTTCGCCTTCCTCTGTTTTTTCTCTTTCCCCCCTAATCTCTCCTCTTTTATCTCAATCTTTCACTCTTTTACAGTTGGCTACGTTTTCCTATGCTTCTCTTTTTTCTCTGCCGTCTCCCCTAATCTCTCCATCCTTATCTCCATCTTTCTCTTGTTCACAGTGGAAACTTCTGCTCTCACCAGGGAAACCACTCTGGAGACAAACAAACAAACAGTGAGGATACAGGGCCAGGTGGAGCCCGATGGCATCACCCTACCTAACATCACCGCCTACAGGCTGAGACAATCGAGGCCATTGCCAGAGTACAAACGAGAGGAGGAGTGAAATTAAATTATAAAATTGTCAAATAGAAAGCACCACCACCAATTGACAGTGATGTGTAATGCAGAAACAAAAATGTATTCATATTTTTCACTTATCGCTCTAGCTTGCTGTTGCTATTATGCTAATATAAAGGTTGTGGATCAATTTTATTCTGTAGCTGACAGCAGGGTTAACTGCGGTCGGGAGATCTGCTCCCGAAGGGGTCGAGCCAAAGAAGCATTTACGTATGTTTACTCACTCCCCAACCACCACACACACACCAACACAATACCTCTGTCTTTCTCCCTCTGCACTGGGGCTGCACAATATGGTAAAAAAAGAAAATCAGATATTGCAATTGCGCTACGATTCAGTTAGTGAATAATCATTTTCATCTCCACTTACTGTTAAAATCATGAGGATGTGACATTTGTTGGGTTCTGTACCCAACAATGTTTTCTTACACCTGGAGAACAAGATTTGCAAGAGAAGGTAGTCTCTGCAGGACTACATTATAATGCTGTTTTGTCACACATTTTACCTTAATCAAAACATTGCAGCCTCTGTGATTTGGATATTGCACTTCGTCATGCTGCAATTTTCGATAATATTTCGATTGACTGTGGAGCCCTACTCTGCGCCGCTCTGCACACACACCGGCTTGCCCCGCCCTGCCTCTCTCTCCCTGACTGTTGACTTTATTTGTCACAGATACGTTTTAGAAAGTCGCACAAAAATCACTACTCATATTCCGTTTTCCATTCCATCCATCATGTCGGTGTCTTTTAGTGTAATACCACGTAACTCTTTCGCAGTTTCTCTGCAAAATGCTAAAACAGGCTGCCAACCGCGGATTACCATAGCAACAGTCAAAGCATCGGGTCAGCCTTAGTCAGGTTATAATTGTTAAGCTTTACACCTGCTTGAAAATAGTTTGCCATTAGTAATCAGCTGATAACCACACATCAGGTGAGTTAGCCAATGACTGTGAAGCATGACTGAAGCAGCTCATGCCAATCCGCAGTAATGACAGCACAAATTCAGCGCTCTGCTGAACTAACACAAAGCTTAATCATCAGCCAAAAGGTCAAATTTCTCAATTCCACTAAAAATGCAAAACCTACACCACTACAGGAGTTAATACGTCCACTCTCGCAATCTTGAAAAAAAAAAAAGAAAAACAGTTGGCTGCCATAATACTTCAAACCAGTGTAATCACGCTAATACCAAACCAAAAACGATTAAAAACTCAAGCTAGTAAGGCGACCATCTTTCTGCACCTGGTCTGATGAATTGTGGGTGTCCACCCCACCCAGCAGTAAAGCTTAAGTTTAAGCTTTAAATTTAACTGACCAGCTGGCACTCAGACAACTTACGAGAGGCTTTAGTACAAAAGCTCTAACCACTGTTTGTTTCCATTACAGGCAGAGGTAAGGCGCGCATGTGTGTGTGTTTGCAACAACGGGATAAGACAAGAATGCAAACAGCAGGTGTTCAGGGATTTAATATAACATAGAACACACACACACACACAACGAAGACACATGCCTGTGTACACACACAGACACACACACATACACAATGGCACAGACCGCTCCCCACCACATCTCACCCCAGACCACTGAAACCAGTGAACCTTACAGTCTGGCTGCCTTGGGCCGGCATACTGGTTGACTTTACACCCACACAGGTTTGGTGTGTGGAGGGGTTTTTTCACTTACAGCACAGCTTTATTGGTTGGCTACACCACAGAGACTGAGAAAAAACAGAGAAATGACTATTAGAGAGGAATGTTAAACAAATGACAGATCAGGTGACAAAGACTCACAGTGGAATGAAAGTTGGGCTGGCTGCCGCTGTGGTAAACCATGAAATAATGAGAGAATACGCGAGGTCAAACGTTTCACATGTCAGGTTGCTGGACGGTCATTTGTGTTTCCATTTCTCTCCTCGTCCCCCCTTTCTCCTCAATCTGTTCCGTTCTTGTTTTCTTGAACTTTGCCCTCACCTCATACAACAATGAGGAATAACGACTAACTACTGCAAACAGTTTCCTCTCCTTCTCTATCTATCTACAACACTGCGACATTTCCTTGTTCTACTTTTTCTCTCACTCTATCAGGCACTGCATCCTTATCTCTCTCTCCCTCCATCCTTTTCCCTTTCATCCTTTGTTGTTCTCCGTCCAACGCTTCATTTCCGAATGAGTTTGCTTCCTGTTCTAATCTTCTGTTGTTTTCCACAAAGCTCTTGTACCGCTTCACTTTCTCATTCCTCCTTTCTTGCTCTCCATCCCTCTCTCTATCTCTCTCTCTCTAGATAGGTATGCTCAATTTCGCTCTCTAA